AGAACCAAGTAATAATAGGTGAAAAAAAATGTGGATTTTATTTGGACAAGGAATGGGACTAATTTTTTTTTTTTTTTTTTTTTTTTTGAGATGGAGTCTTGCTCTGTCACCCAGGTTGGAGTGCAGTGGTACGATCTCAGCTCACCGCAACCTCTGCCCCCACGGGTTCAAGTGATTCTCCTGCCCCAAACTCCTGAGTAGCTGGGTTTACAAGCACGCACCACTACACCCAGCTAATTTTTTGTATCTTTAGTGGAGATGGGGTTTCACCATGTTGGCCAGGCTGGTCTCGAGCTCCTGACCTCGGGATCTGCCCACCTTGGCCTCCCAAAGTGCTGGGATTACAGGTGTGAGCCACCATGCTCAGCTGTGACTAATCATTTTCTTTGAAAAATCTTTAACAGCTTCACGAGGGAATTTTGTATTATTCATGTATTAAGTTTAAAGAAACAGCTAACAAGTAATAAGGATTACTTTAAAAATCTTTGGAAGAATAAAGATTACTATTTAAATTTATTGATTCCTTGATATTATGCTGTTTCATCAACTCTGCTATGAAGAAAAAGTAAAAGCCAAAAAAATCTGACATTTCATTAAGACCTTTTCTTGCAAATGAAGTGATCATTTAAGTTAGAATGGGAATATAAAAAGTAGCTTTTCTAGATTCAAGTACAAGTGGTAAAAAACTGAAATTGGCCAGGTGCAGTGGCTCACACCTGTAATCCCAGCACTTGGGGAGGCCAAGGCAGGCAGATCACTTGAGGTCAGAAGTTTGAGACCAGCCTGGCCAACATGGGGAACCCCATCTCTACTAAAAATACAAAAATTAGCTGGGTGTGGTGGCATGCACCTGTAATCCCAGCTACTCAGGATGCTGAGGCAGGAGAATCACTTGAACCTGGGAGGCAGAGGTTGCAGTGAGCCGAGATCGTGCCACTGTACTCCAGCCTGGGTGACAGAGTAAGACTCCATCTCAGAGGAAAAAAACCTGAAATCACAACAATAATCCAGTGATCCCTTAGTATCAGCTGGGGTTTGGTTCCAGGACTTCCCCCTGAGGATACCAAAATCTGGCTGATGCTCAAGTTTCTCATATAAAGTGGGTAGTGTCTGCATATACGCACGTCTTCATCTGCATACTTGACATCATATCTAGGTTACTTACATCTAATACAATGTAAATATTGTTATACTCTGTTGTTTTTTCTTTATATTATCTTTCATTATTGTATTATTTTTATTGGATTTTCTTTGGAATACTTGAAATCTGTGGTTGGTTGAATCTGTGGGTGTGGAACCCCAGATACTGAGCCCCCAGATACAGGGGGCTGACTGTATTTCCTGACATGTGAAATCTGAATTTCATTCTCCATAGTTTTATTCCAATAAATATCACACAGTGATATTCATTCACGTACTGTCTGTTGTTGCTTTCATACTACAACATCAGAGTAGCTGCAACAGAAATTACACATCCAGAAAGCCTAAAATATTTACTATCTGGCTTATCAAATTCAAATCAGATAATTTTATTATTCCCTACAGTTTGAACATATGGAAAAAGCATTAAATATCTAAATACATAAATTAAGAGAATAATGAGGCACCTTTTGTCAATAATTAGAAGACTGGGAACTATGAGGTGTAGTAAGACTGGCATTTTCATATATTGCTCGTTGGAATATGAACTGGTTCATCTGTTCTGCTAAATAGGAGTACACATCAAGAACCTCAAAAATCACTTTCACTGCTGTAGAATTCAACAGTAAGAACATATCACAATTTATTAAACCTTTTCCCTCCTAATATAGATATATATAGGTGCTGTTTTCAGATTTTTTCTATTAGAAACGATGGTGTATTTCACATTGTAATGAATGCTGTATTTAACATCTTTTATGGCCGGGCGCGGTGGCTCATGCCTGTAATCCCAGCACTTTGGGAGGCCGAGGCGGGCAGATCACAAGGTCAGGAGATTGAGACCACGGTGAAACCCCGTCTCTACTAAAAATACAAAAAATTAGCCGGGCGCGGTGGCGGGTGCCTGTAGTCCCAGCTACTTGGGAGGCTGAGGCAGGAGAATGGCAGGAACCCGGGAGGCGGAGCTTGCAGTGAGCCGAGATCGCGCCACTGCACTCCAGCCAGGGGGACAGAGCGAGACTCCGTCTCAGAAAAAAAAACCAAAAAACAAAAAAAACACCTTTTATGTATTTATCAACAGCAATTAACGCTAAACCTATAGAAGTCCAATTTTATAAGGCACAGAATATTGCATATAGTCTGGGAGTTCCTAGTCTAGAGAAATCCCTAAGTCTAAATGTGGACTTACTGGGTCCACCCTAAGTAATCAAAACTAGTATCACCAATAAGGGGCAAATGCCATGTACCTCCAGATGTGATACACTAGTCAAAGACCACCTAAGTCTAGAGGTGGACTTACTAGGTATCAGGTTGTACACAGCTTCAACTTTACTAGATATTGCCAAAATGTTCTCTAAAATAAGAGCTGGCCTGGGCATTGTGGCTCATGTCTATAATCCCAGGATTTTGGTAGGCCAAGGCAAGAGGATCATTTGAGCCCAGGAGTTCCAGACCCAGACTGAGCAACATAGTGACACCCCATCTCTACAAAAACGGAATTTTAAAACAATTAGTAAGCCGGGTGTAGTGGCTCATGCCTGTAATCCCAGCACTTTGGGAGGCCGAGGCAGGTGGATCACCTGAGGTCGGGAGTTCGAGACCAGCCTGACCAATAAGGAGAAACCCCGTCTCTACTAAAAATACAAAATTAGCCAGGTGTGGTGGCACATGCCTGTAATCCCAGCTACTAGGGAGACTGAGGCAGGAGAATCGCTTGAACCCAGCCTGGGCAACAAGAGCAAAACTCCATCTCAAAAAAAAAAACAAAAACCATTAGTCAGGTGTGTTGGCACACACCTGCACTCTCAGCTACTCAGGAGGCTAAGGTGGGAGGTCTGCTTGAGCCTAGGAGATCAAAGAAGTAGTGAGTCATGATCATGCTGTACTCCAGCCTGGGCAATAGAGCTGTATGAAAAAATTAATTAAATAAGAACAATTTATTCTTCACCTCCAACACTATTCAGGAGTATTAATTATTGCTAATCTGATGGAAATGAATGCCACCTCCCTAATTACAAGTTAGGTTCATTGCTTCTTTTATTTATTGACCTTTCTTGTTTCCCCTTTTATAAAAGGACCAGCCATGTCCTTTGCCCATTTTTCTATTATAACATTTGTCAGAGGGGTGCAGTGGCTCGTGTCTGTAATCCCAACACTTTGGGAGTCCGAGGTGGGTGGATCACGAGGTCAGGAGTTCGAGACCAGCCTGGCCAGCCTGGTGAAACCCCGTCTCTACTAAAAATACAAAAAAATTATAGCCAGGCGTGGTGGCACACACCTCTAATCCCAGCTACTTGGGAGGCTGAGGCAGGACAACTGCTTGAACCCGGGAGGCCGAGGTTGTGGTGAGCCAAGATCGTGCCATTGCACTCCAGCCTGGGCAACAAGAGCAAAACTCCCATCTCAAAAAAAAAAATTTGTCTTTGATTCTTTTTGTTTTGTTTCATTTAGTAACTTGAAGGTGTATTCCCATTCTTTTAAGAACAAACTCCTCCATAAAACCCACCTTTCCTCCAAGGCTGCTTCCACGTTCTTGCCTTAACTAGATCCAGCATTCCCTTGATACTACTACTCTCACAGTCCTCTAAATGTAAACTGAGATACAGAAATTTTTTATCAATAACACTGTCACAGTTATCACAAAACTGTAATGATATCCTTCCCTTCTAACAAATCCATAAAGTAATTCCAAATTCCACAGATTGGTTTTCAAAGCTTTCTATAATCTGACCTCAACATTTTCAGCCACCTACTCTCCTATATATATACTATGCACCAAGTAAACTCAACTGTTTGCCAACATCTCAAACACCCCCTGTGCTTTCTATAAATAATTCTCTGTCTTGATCTATGCTGTTCTTAGCACCCACCTGTTTATCAGACATTCATCCTTCAAGGAAAACTCTTCCTTACAATATAATACCAATAAATATAGAAAAGAATTAGAAAAAAAAAAATCACCATTTTGCAGCCATAAGAATAAAATGGATTCAGGCAAGAACCATCAACTGATGGTAAATCTAAAATGTCATATTTTATAAGGAACAATATATTTTATATAATAAAAGTATCTCCCCCTCACATTATTTATGAATTATAAGGATAACCAGGTTGATATAATTTAAAAAGCACCCTAATAAGTAATTAAAATTAATACCACCAGTAAGGGGAAAATGCCATGTACCTCCAGATGTGATACCATGACACTACTACTTATGCAGTATTCTAGTTAAAAATGCATAACCATGAAGAAACATTGGAGAAACCCAAATTGAGAACATTCTATAAAATAACTAGCCTGTATTATTTTACAATGTTAATGCTGTGAAAGATAAGGACTGAGGACTCTTTCCAGATTAAGAGACTAAATATAATACATGATCCTAGACTAAATGTTGAACTACAGAAAAATGCCATAAAGGACATTACCAAAACAACTGATATAATTTGAGTGTGATGTGTAGATTCAGAATGTTTGCTTAATATTTACTAAACTAGAAGAGCTTTCATTCCAAGAATCCACACACACTCCCACCACGTCTAAGGAAACGCCCCTATACAATACACCTGAGAAGAGAGACTGACAGAACTAAATGATTAATATGTGCTAATAACAGTGTCTAGAGCACTAAAAATAAAAATGAACAAATTAAAACACTGGAAAGGTTTGGAGAAACCATCATCACTCACCTTACTTTAGGGACAAATACATGAATTTGGGTCCTTGTGATTTTTGATAAAGATTTCAAGTTTCTATTATTGAACATTAAAACTAGATTCCAAAGGAAATAACTAGAAGAGTTATTGATAAAAAATTTAGATTCTTAACTTTTACACAAAATATCTAAAAACACACATTATACTGTCTTTTGAATTTTAATGACACTAATAGCTTTATTTAACAAACATTGAGTGACTACTATGTGCAAAGCACTATGCTAGGTGCATGAAAGATACAAAGATGAAAATAGACAGTCCCTGCCCACGAGGAGCGTATAATCTAGTGAGGGAGACAAATACACAAATAACTAGAATACAAGGCAGTAAACAAGAGTCGGCAAGTGCTGAGTGTGGCCTGAGTGTGATACTAACTAGCCTCAAGGTTCCAATTTGAAACATGATGAAATAGTGTTGCCTGCTTTGAAAATCCCATCCCAAGTTTGGCATAATGGAAGTTAAATGGCCCTTCCCAAGCAGGTGGAAATAACAGAGTAGGCCAGGTGGAGGGGCTGCTTGAAAGTACTATCACACCTACATACATGGTGCTGATATAAGTACGTAGGTACAGCTAAAAAAGAACTTATATGTGTATATATATATATATATCATCTGTCCTTTGGTTAATGGCTATAGCTACTGTTTTAAACAATATACTTTGATATAAAAAGGAATTTGTATAATCCCAGAAAAATCAATTTAAGGATTAACATTAATTCAAGAAAGAATCCTGCCATAGGCAATTTTATTTACTAACTGATTAAGTCTTTTCTCTAAGTATCTATAAAGCTCTGTAGCAATTAAATGGTTAGACATCTAAGTATTGCTGAGTAGAAACCTCTTATGTTCAGCCTTCTGAAAGAAATGGTCACATACCTGATATATAGCACTATTCTAACAGCAACAAGAAGGCCTTAAAGAGATTTTAAGGAAAATAATTTTTAATGCTTCAATGCAAATGGAGTACACGCTGATTAAATACAACTCAATGTTCTTTGAAAACATCTCAATGACAGCGTTTGATACCAGTTAAGGCCAGCAAAACTGTACTGAGGAAAATATTACATGTACTGTCTTTCATTGGTTTCATGTATCATTGCTTATGACTATGGCAACCCAATCTTTTCTTTGACAATTGCATTTATGGGAACTGATGAGCTTTGATTTATGAGCTTTGATTTGCTTTAGTTCATAGGCCAATAACAAGTGCTGACCACTTCCTCTTGGTAGTGCTGTCTGAAATAACTGGCAAAGTAGAAGCACATTTCCTGGCTGCTTTTCCTACTTCCTGAATTGGAGGATTCACCACTTTAGCCTGTTTCCTTCCGTGTGTCACTGTGGTCCTGGGTCCTCTGCTGCTTTCTCTCAAGGAAACGAGCCCGTGCATCAGATATGGATTTGTCATCATTTCTTCTTTGCATTTTCTTTAAGACGTCTTTTGATATTCCATCTGAAAACATTATAAATTAATCCAATAAAACTTAGCTTTGAGAATCAGTACTAGAAATGTTAAAAGAAAGAGAAGCCCTGATTTTTCAATGTTAACAAAGTAAAAAGAATAAAGAGAAAATTAAATTTTGCCCTTTCAAAAGCAATGTAGTCTATGGTTACAAAATTAAGAGCACCAAGGTCAATGAGTCAGAAAAACTGACCCTAATTCAAGCATGTGGCACAGTGTTATAATACTGTAATAAAACACCTAGTGGCTAACATTTCTAAAGACTTTTCTATGATTTCTTGGGCAAAACTCTTCACCATTCTATTTTTCAGTGATGTCAAATAAAGAAAATACAACATGCTTCATGATTCAACCTCAAAAAGCTTTACTAAAAAGTTTTCTGTATATGTGAGCTGATAAACTTTCTGTCCTATTTCAGTACCACAACTATTTATGCCTCCCAATCAGGGTCCTAATATTTCATAGAAAAAGCCCCTTGGATATACAAAATTAGCCAGGCATGGTGGCGCATGCCTGTAATCCAGCTACTCAGGAGGCTGCGGCAGGAGAATAGCTTGAACTGGGAGGCGGAGGCTGCAGTGAGCCAAAATCGTGTGTCTCAAAGAAGAAAAAGAAAGACTAGAGAGAGAGAGAGAGAGAGCACCCCTTGGAAACAAAGGGAATTCTGAGTTAATAATGCACAAATCATATATATATATGTATGTATATATGTGTGTGTGTGTATATATATATATTTTAGAGATAGTGCCTCACTCTGTCACCCCCAGGCTGGAGTGCACTGGTGAAATGACAGTTCACTGCAGCCTCAAACTCCTGGGTTCAAGCGATCTTCCTGCTTCAGCCTCCCAAGTCACTGGGACTATAGGTGCACACCAACATGCCTGGCTAATTTTCTTTTTTTTCTTTTTTTTTTTTTTTTGATAGAGATGGGGTCTCACCACATTGCCCAGGTCGGTCACAACATTTTTATAAACAAAAATAGTAAAGTACTACTAGGAAGCAGTATGGCATAGTGCTTAAAAATAGAACAAATGATTTACTCACCCTTTAGCTGCTTTACATTTTCCTTATTTGTCCATCTCCTTCTTGCATCTTCTCTCACTTCACGTCGGGCCACACTGCTCAAATCATGTGCGTTAAACTCATGCAACTTGGGTAACAAGTCTCTTACCCATTCATAACGGATTGGGCATACAATTCTTGCGTAGACTTTGGTGGTAACCAATACCTCATGAAAAATGATCCATTCAAGTTTGGTTTCCTGTTCATGAAGCTATACAAAACATTTCTTTTAAGGATGATAACTCAATAACCTGCCCTATTCCACATTAGACCAACCAGATAGTCCAAACCCTTCTCAATTAATTCCTATCTTCTTCAATCAGGAGGCATGGGCCAACCAATACCCTTATAGATCTATGTAATATAGATATATGTACATTTAACCCCAAAGTGAAAAGTAGAAGACATTTGTATATTACTTATTTCTACAACTTTACAAATTTCTTCCCTTTATTAAAAATGAACTACTTACTGCTGAGGAAGGATGAATGTGAACTGGGCTTCCACGCCCATCCATTGTGCAAAATGTTCTCCCAACAGATCTATAAATAGAAAAACAAAATGATAAAGACTACAACAGTAAAGCAATGAAGTAAATGAAGCATTACATTCAGCAATGAACAATTACAGTATGTTCTATTACGAAGAGCATTATAAGCAGAGGCTTACATTTATTCAGCTGTCACTACAACCTCTGTACCAATTCATCTTAATTATACAAGTTAAACAGTCACTACAATTAGGTATAAGGAATCAGTAGTAATATTAACAATAATCTGTGAGCTTTGAGAGCCAGGAACTTTATTAAAAGGTCAAACCTGAAACTCAAATAAATTAGCTAGACTTCTCAAGATCACCAGCGCTAACGCATGGTAAAACCAAGTCCTAAACAGTTCTTCTGTCTTAAATACGGTTTATGTTATATTATGCTGCATCTCTTTTTAAAGGGATGATTTTTCACTACTCTAGAACTTGACAATTAGTTAATCTATCATTTTTCTAATTCATGCCCTTATTTTCTTCTACATTTCCCTACCTATCATTCCAAAAAACTTGTCAAAATAATAACCCCAGTTCGTCATAATTTATTTCCTATAGTACTTTGCATGTATTCATAGTATAACCCAGATCAGACTGCATTGTAATTATTCACTTACATATCTGTACCCTCCATTAGACTCAGGTATCATCAAGAATGATGTAAGGACTCATGTTACTCTACCTTTCTATTTTTAGTACCTGCCCAGTGTTTGGCATACAGCGGGTAATCAAGACATACCATATTTTTAAAAGTGTGAAACAATCGGAATTTACAGAAAAGTTGCAAGTAAAAAAACCTTTTTTTTTTTGTTGAGGCGGAGTCTCGCTCTGTCGCCCAGGCTGGAGTACAACAGCACGATCTGGGCTCACTGCAAGCTCTACCTCCCAGGTTCACCCCATTATCCTGCCTCAGCCTCCCGAGTAGCTGGGAATACAGTCACCCGCTACCACGCCCAGCTAATTTTTTTTGTATTTTTAGTGGAGACGAGGTTTCACCATGTTAGCCAGGGTGGTCTCGATCTCCTGATCTTGTGATCCAGCCACCTCAGCCTCGCAAAGTGCTGGGATTATAGGCGTGAGCCACTGTGCCCGACCAAAAAAATATTTTTTACCTGAATCATTTGACAGTAAGCTGCCAACCTAATACCCCATCATTCCCAAATACTTGAGTGTGCACTTCCTACAATCAACAATCAAGAATATTCTCTGACATGACTATAAGCATCAAAACCAGAAAATTAACACTGATACATTACTAACATCTAATCCTCAGACCCCACTGACATTTCACTGAATGTCTTAATATCCTTTATAGCAAAAGGATGTAATTCAGAAGCATACATTGCCTTTATTTTTCATTTCCCTTTGGTCTCCTTCATTCTGGAATACTTCCTCAGTCTTTGACTTTCATGATCTTGGCACCCTTAAAGATGTCAAGGCTAGTTACTGTGTGGTATGTCACTCAATTTGAGTTTGTCTGTTTCAGGATGATTAGATTCAGGTTATGCATCTTTAGCAGGAATATCACAGACATAATGCTGTGTTTTTCTCATTGTATCCTATTAGGAAGAACATGATTTTGATTTACTTCATTATGTTCACTTTGATTGCTTGATTTAGGTACATTATACCAGGAATCTCCACTGTAAAGTTACTTTTTGCTTTTGTAATTAACAAAAATTTTATGGAGAGGTGCTTGTAAACAATTCCATTTCTCATTAAACTTTTACTCCTTTATTTATACCACGATAGACATATGATTTCACATTTTATTAAGTCCATAATAATCCACTATTATCATTACTTATTTTGATGCTTAAAGTGTCTCATATTTGATCACTTGGGGCCTCTTCATGCTGGCTCCTATATTCTTCTGACATAGCCTCAACCTTTGGTAATCACTTCTTTATTTGCTGGCAAAATAATATGTTCTGGGCTCATCTTGGATTTTCCCAGCCCCATTTCTCCAAAGACCCCTGATTCCTTTAAGTGAAAGATGGATGTCCCAAGTCAAGATCTGGGCACTACATCTATTCATTGTTATTATCTCAGAGCTAGGGCATATATACATATAAATATTTACATACATACAAAGACACATATATACACCCACTAACATCTATTTTTATTCCAGTGTCCGTCCATGCATCCATCTATAATGAAACCCATAACTTCATAATGATACTCTGAAATTTCTTTTTTTTGTTTTTTTGTTTTTTTGTTTTTGAGACAGAGTCTCGCTCTGTGGCCCAGGCTGGAGTGCAGTGGCCAGATCTCAGCTCACTGCAAGCTCCGCCTCCCGGGTTCACGCCATTCTCCTGCCTCAGCCTCCCGAGTAGCTGGGACTACAGGCGCCCGCCACCTCGCCCGGCTAGTTTTTTGTATTTTTTAGTAGAGACGGGGTTTCACCGTGTCAGCCAGGATGGTCTCGATCTCCTGACCTCGTGATCCGCCTGTCTCGGCCTCCCAAAGTGCTGGGATTACAGGCTTGAGCCACCGCGCCCGGCCGATACTCTGAAATTTCAATCCAACAGCACAGAGATCATTCCTATTTTCTCACTTTCGGTATTTCTAACTCCCTTCACCATTATCACTTACAGAGTTATGTGATCAATTCCTCTGTATTTAATGAATCTCCATCACCATCACTGTTGCCCTTTATCTATAAAGATGCCTTCCTCACTACACTCAGACTGATGCCCCAAACCAAATAACCCCTCCCTACCCTTGCTCAAGCCCTAACACTCCATGCCAAGCTACCCTTCCTCAGGGATGCTATGCTCAACCTACTTGGCTTTCACACTATAGACAGGGCCACCCCTCTGTAAGAAAACTCTTGTTACTTGCCTTAAGTGAAGATAACCCATGCTGGACAGCCACCCTACAAACATACCCCTCCTACCCTACTTGGGCTCTAATACCACATTCTGAGCCACTACAGCTGTCCCTGGTCATTGTAATTCACATCATAATCATCACAGAGCTTAAATCAAATCTTCAATGTTTAATATTAAATAGTCCAATATTATAGTTAGTCAAATACAGTATTATATCTTGATCCATCTCTCAAGTCCTTATTGCTTACCTTCGAGCTACATTTTTGAAATAGCCTGCACAAAGACACCTTCGTAGTACTTCATGTTTAGGGCCTTCAAAGGTCTCTCTTGGGAAATCACTTTGCTGTAAAAAGAATATATAGAGTGGTAAATCTCACAGTACAATTTGAAATAATCTTTTATTTTGAAAACCCCCCATTTCTAAAGACCTCTGTTTCTGGCCAACATAGATTAAGAGAGACCAGATTTACCCTTCCACCTAAAACCAAAAAAATGGACAAAACATATGAAATAATGATTTCCAAAACACTGTAATATCAGGCAATAAAGGACAGAGACAGAAAATAAATGCAGTACGCCCAACAACTGCCCCAACTTCAGCCTTAAGAAAGACTGCAGACCAAGATACAGGGAAGTGAAGCCCAAATGGAACTCAGAGAACTCCCTGGGTTAGAGAGACAAAGCTGGGAGTCCAGGAAGAGCAACATGGCTAGAATTCACAGGCCAAGAGTTCAGGAGAGAAGAGAAGTGTACAAAGACACAACTCCAGAGAGATGCAGAAGGTCCTCCTCAAGTGTTGAGCTGAATAGTGATTAGCACATGAATGTGAGGAAACTACCAGCCCAAGAAAAGAACCACTTAAAAGGATAAGAAGTAAGGGCATGGTGTTTTCACAGGGCTAGTAATGATGCCTGTTCCTATAAGCCACATGAAAATACTACACCACAATAATTCGTGTGATGTTAGGAGGAGTACTCAGATGGGCCTTGCCTCAGTAGAGGGGAATAACTAGCACTGCACTTAGCACTGCTCTGATTCCACCTAACAAATCATGCAAGCAAGACCCAAAAAGAAAGATCAAAGACCATTTTCAAGTAACTAGAACACAAAAATATCCAGCACCCAACAAGGTGAAATTCACAATGTTTAGCATCCGCTGAAAATTTATCAGGTATGATGTAAAGCAAAAAAGCACAATCCAGCCGGGTGCGGTGGCTCAAGCCTGTAATCCCAGCACTTTGGGAGGCCGAGACGGGCGGATCACGAGGTCAGGAGATCGAGACCATCCTGGCTAATACGGTGAAACCCCGTCTCTACTAAAAAAATACAAGAAAATTAGCCGGGCGAGGTGGCGGGCGCCTGTAGTCCCAGCTACTCGGGAGGCTGAGGCAGGAGAATGGCGGGAACCCGGGAGGCGGAGCTTGCAGTGAGCCGAGATCGCGCCACTGTACTCCAGCCTGGGGCACAGAGCGAGACTCCGTCTCAAAAAACACAATCCATAATGAGAACATCAATCAAAATCAACCTAGAACTGACACAGATTTAATTATATTTTATTATGATTTTCTGTATAGCTGGATTACGTATGTTCAAAAAGTAGAGACCTGAAAAATAAAATGTAAAAATTTAAAGACTGAAATCCAACATCTGGAAGTGAAAATACAACACCTGAGATGACAAATATACTAGATGGGATTAATGGCAGATTAGACTAGACACTGCAGGAGAAAAGATTAATGAACTTGAAGACAAGGCAAACAGAAAACATTCGCAGCGAAACAGAGAAAGTATAATAGTGGTTTCCAGAGGTTGGAGAAAGAAGATAATGGGTAGGTTTTTCTGTTTTTGTTTTGAGTCAAGGTCTTACTCTGTCACCCAAGCCAGAGTGAAGTTCTGTGATCACAGCTCACTGTAGCCTGGATCTTCTAGGCTCAAGCAATCCTCTACCGCAGCCTACTGAGTAGCTGAGACTACAGGTGTGTGACACAACCCCTGGTCAATTTTTTTTTTTTTTTTTTTTTTTTAGTAGAGACAAGGTCTCGCTGTGTTGCCCAGGCTGGTCTCAAACTTGCTGGGCTCAAGTGATCCCCCTACCTCGGCTTCCCAAAGTGCTAGAATTATAGGCGTGAGCTACCATGCCCTGTCGGGAATGGGGAGTCATTGTTGAATGGTTATGGAGTTTTATTATAGTATGGGATGATAAAAAAAGTTCTGGAGATGGAGAAGTGGTAAGGGTTGCACAACATTGTGAATGTTTTAAGTGTACACTGACCTGTACACATAAAAACAGTAAAAAAAAATTTTTTTTTGAGACACGGTGTTGCTCTGTTGCCCAGGCTAGAGTGTGGTGGCATCATACCTCACTGCAACCTCGAACTCCTGGGCTCAAGTGATCCTTCTGCCTCAGCCTCATGAGTAGCCAACACTACAGGTGTGTGCCAACATAACCAGCTAATTATTTTAATTTTTTGTAGAGACAGGTCTCACTGTTTCTCAGGCTGGTCTTGAACTCCTGGCCTCAAGTGGTCGTCCCACTTTGGCCTCCCAAAGCATTGGGATTACAGGGGTGAATCACCAATGCCCAGTAGAGGTAAATTTTATATTAAATATTTTACCAAAATAAGATATGTAAATTGAAAAATAATCATGAGGAGTAAAAGATGCCAGACAAAGAGCATATGCTGTTTGATTCCATTTATGTAAGATGCTAGTAAATGCAAACTTATATACAGTAAGTCCTCAATGTCAATAAGTTCTTAAAAACTGTAAAGTTAAGCAAAATTTTTAAGTTTTTTTTTTTCTCATCAGTGTTAAAACAATGGTGAATAAAGCAATATTTTTCTAGGGCCTGCTGTATATCATTTTGCTTAAAGTCACAGTTTCCAAGAAACTACTGATGACATTAAGTGAGGACTTACTGGATAATGACAGAAAGCAGATCAGTGGTTACCTGAGTAGGTGAGGCAGGAGGGCCTGCTAGGTGAGACAATGGATTATGACAGGGAATGAGGCCAGGTGCAGCGGCTTATGCCCATAATCCTAGCACTTTGGGAGGCCAAGGCAGGTGGATCACTTGAGGTCAGGAGTTCGTTGAGACCAGCCTGGCCAACATGGCAAAACCCCGTCTCTACCAAAACTACAAAAATTAGCTGGGCATGGTGATGCAAGCCTGTAATCCCAGCTACTTGGGAGGCTGAGGCAGGAGAACTGCTTAAACCTAGGAGGCGGAGATTGCAGTGAGCCAAGATCATGCCACTGCACTTCAGCCTAAGTGACACACTGAGACTCCGCCTCAAAAAAGAAAAAAAGGGAGGGAATGGGAAAACTGGAAGATGATGGATATGTCCCATTATCTTGATAACTGTTTTATGCGAATGTCAAAACTCATCAAAGTATGTATCTTAAATATGTGTAGGTTATTGCACGTCAATTATATATCAGGAAAGCAATTTTTAAATATCTTCATTTCTGCACATACAATTCTTTTATTACTACTAGGAATCTTTCATGGGGTCAGGGAGATGGCTGTACATAGAAACAAATAGAAAGGAAGGGTGGTAGAATAGAAAGGGTGCTAATGTACATCAATGAAAATTCAGTATGAAATATTTAGGTCCAAAATGCTATTCAAAAAAAAAAATTACGGCAATCACCTGTTTAAGCTTCCTGATTAGTTCTCGAAGTTGAGCTTCCACACGAAATGCAGAAAATAAGCACCTCCAATGAATCCAGTGTTTTTGGCACCATGAAGCTGGAGCTCCACTGCAAAACAAAAAACTGGTATCTTTAAAATATCTTCTCTAAGTAAAAGACAATCTAAAATTCTCATTTCTATTACAAAAGTGGAAACCCATAAACAACTGTCAGTTCCTTCAGGAGTCCTGTCCAAGTACTAAAAAAATGTTAGGAAATTTGAAAAAAACAATTAAATTAATGAGGGTGCCCCTGACTAAATTAAAAAATAATTTGTAAATGAATTTCTTTACTTATATATGCAATAGCAAATATTCAATCATTTTTTAATGTAGACTACCTATATAGAAGCAAAATTCTATAAGGTCATTTTCAGGAAAGGTTTGAGGAGAAAAGAAGATAATCAGTATTATGTAATAAATGCCTACTAAGTAACAGTCATCTGACATAGATAACTTCACTGAAATTCAAAATACCTTAAAGTCAATATCATCTTGTGACACTGAACTTTAGTGTCACAAGCCACATAGGTACATATTGGAACCATACATCAAACTGACATTTTCCAGGACAAAGGACTACCTTACATACCTTGATTTGCATTGTTCAAAGATGACAGCTAAAGTTGCAAAGTCATTAAATCCTCCAGCTTTAGTTGCCAATTCTCGATGTCTCTGTTCTGCTTCCTTCTGGTACTCTGGATCAACTAAAAGAATTGGAGAGGCAATTCAGTTATACTTTACAGTAAGTGCCGACAATCACTTTGTTTTCAAAAACTTATTAAAATCTGCCTCATCCTCTAGGGTGAAGTAAGGTAGAACTATATTAACTCTTCTTAACTCCTCTTGGGAAGCTCTAATTTCTCCCACAATTCCTTTTTTTCTTTTAATATCACTTTGGAGATTTTACCTGAATAACAACATTATTTCTCCCAATCTATTTGTCTTTTTAAAATAGTATTTGTAATTTACTTTTTAAATTAGTTTTGTTATAAGAGTAATCCATGCTTACAGTTAAAAAAAAGAAATGTAATAGTATAAAAAAATATTATGTGAAAGTTCAATGTTCCCCAGTCACACTACCCATAAAACAATCTTCAAGGCTAACTACTGTTCATTATTTAGTGTGTGTCCTTCCAGGTAATTTCTATGTATATACAAGCATATGTACATAGTGTTTCATTTTTCTATAAATGGAATATATAATCTGAAAATGTTTATTCATTTAACAACAGCTCCATATCAGTACATATAGAATTATTCATTCTCAAAAATAGCAATATAGGGTCAGGTGTGGTAGCTCACGCCTGTAATCCCAGCAATTTGAAAGGCCAAGGGAAGTGGATCAATTGAGCCCAGGAGGTCAAGACAAGTCTAGGCAACAAAGCAAGATCCTGTCTCTACAAAAACTACAAAAATTAGCCAGGCATGGTGATGCACGCCTGTAGTCCCAGCTACTCAGGAGGCTGAGGTGGGAGGATCACTTGAGCCTAGGAGGTTGAGGCTACAGTGAGCTGTGATCACATCACTGCACTTTGGCCTGGGTAACAGAGTGAAACCTTGTCTAAAGAAAAAAAAAATGATACGGTATTCCCCAGGAGTATGGGGAACATAACACAATTTAACCAGTTCTTATTTATCCAATTCCCAATTGTGGGCAATTAGACATGATCTCCATATATACAGAACTGACCTACTACGAACAATTTCTTTTTTAATGTAATATTGAAGTATAACATGCATACAGAAAATTACACAGGACATAAGTGTGTAGCTCAATTAATATTCACAAACATAACATACCAATGTACCCAGATCAACAAACAGTATCACTAGCATCTCAACAGCCCCCCTTTATGCCCTCCTTCGAGTAACTACCCATTCCCTTCCACAAGAGTAACTATATCCTGACTTCTAATCCTACAGATGGATTTTGCTCATTTTTAACCTTTGTATAAATGAATCATATAATATGTACTTGATATGTCTGTTTTCTCTTGCTCAACATTATATTTTTGAGAGTTATCTGTTACTGACTTTGATACCACTTCCCCTGACCCCATTCAGGACCCATGTGCTCTCTGATTGCCCAAATTCGCCATATAGCACTTTATCCAGGGCTAATCTTTCAGAGTCCCATTTTTTCAAAACTGCATAGGGATCCTTCCTTCGATCTAACACGTCACATCACAATTCCTATTCCCTATACTTATCACAGCTAGATTTAGCAGAGGCACAATGTTGCCTGATTCCAGGGAGCAGCATTTACTATAGAATACAGTGTGAATCTGCAAAGCAGCAGTTCCTGTTACTAGGAGGAAAGCAATTTGATTAAACACTGATGAAGGTATAAAGTCTTCTATCTTATGCTTTAAGTAGCTTCCAACTATGTTACCTAGGTAACAACTGAATGAAGCAGCTAGAAACAATAAAAAAAAAAAAAAGAATATGATTTATCTCAGACCATACAAATGACCCTGGTAAGGAAAATATATAAATGATTATTAATCTCCATTTCTTGAACTGCTCAGGGATACTAATTTTGTTTTTTGGGTTTTTTTTGTTTGTTTATTTTGTTTCGTTTTTTGAGACAGAGTCTCACTATGTTGCCCAGGCTGGAGTGCAGTGGTGCAATCTTGGCTCACTGCAACATCCACCTCCCAAGTTCAAGCAACTCTCCTGTCTCAGCCTCCCAAGCAGCTGGGACTACAGGCACACACCACCACACCCAAATAATTTTTAAATTTTTTAGTAGAGATGGGGTTTCACAATATTGGCCAGGTTGGCCTACAACTCCTGACCTCAGGTGATTCGCCCACCCCAGCCTCCCAGAGTGCTGGGATTACAGGCTTGAGCCAACATGCCAGCCAGGGATACTAATTTTTAACCCAAAATATTTCATTTCAAGCACCTAACTGCCGTCCCCCAGAAGATATCATGCCAAAAATCAAACTGCACTAGACTCCAGCATCAACCCCATCCTGGATCTCAACACTAGGAGGCAAGCCTACCTATGAGTCAGTGCCTCCTGGAATCCCTAGAATCACGGCACCATGCAGTCTGTGTTTGCATGCATTTTTGATAAATTTTAACTTTTTATAATAGATTTGTATATATTTTATGGTAGTAAATTATAAAATAGACTAGTACTGGAATAGGAATTAAAAGAAATTAAAGACTGTATAAGCAAAAACTCAGTTGTATGTAAGAAAACCTACTTCCCCCTGAGGAAGAGAAAGAGATGGAGTCCTTTAAAATTAACTGATTGTTTTTCTCTCTGTGGCTAGTGAGCCTTATCTCTCCCATTCCCAGGCATTGTGAAGACTCCGTTTCTCCAGCTGTGCAGCTGTAAGGTCACTAGACAGATAATCTCAAGTCGTAAAACATGTTGTTCCTTGAAAAGTAAGAAATAAAGTAATGCATGTCTTAATTAAATAACTGTCTTTGTTTCTCGCTTCTATAATATGCCTCCCCCTGCACAGATCTCCCCCCACCCCACGAAATGCTTAAAAGGTAGCTTGACTCTTTGTTCAGGGCTCAGTCCTTTGGATGTTAATCCAACTGAGTCAGTGCACCTAAATAATTAAGTAAGTCCTCCTCAACCCCTCAGTCTCTCTGATTCCTTAATTATCCCACAGCATTTCCTACACATGTTTTATGTTCTCATGACATATGTTTTCTTAATTTTTTTTATATTTCCAGGCTATGGAGTTCATCTGTGAGTTTTTTCAAAGTGTCACAAATCTCCAAAAACTTTTCCAATATATTTATTGAAAAAACTGGCCGGGCACGTGGCTCACACTTGTAATCCCAGCACTATGGGAGGCCAAGGCAGGAGGATCACCTGAGGTTGGAAGTTTGAGACCAGTCTGACCAACATGGAGAAATCGCATCTCTACTAAAAATACAAAATTAGCCGGGCATGGTGGTGCATGTCTGTAATCTCAGCTACTTGGGAGGCTGACGCAGGAGAATCACCTGAACCTGGGAGGCGGAAGTTGCAGTGAGTTGAGATTGTGCCATTGCACTCCAACCTGGGCAACAAGAGCGATATTGTCTCAAAAAAAAAAGAAAGAAAAAATCTACAAATAAGTAAACCTCCACAGTTCAAACCTGTGTGTTCAAGGGTCAACTGTATTGGGAATGGTAGTGTGACGAGTTAGGTAAAACTTCTTTTCTAGAGAGACATCTATTAAACTAGTCAAAATTACCAAAGACAATCATTCAAAGTCTCTGGAGATTGATTAAAAAGCTTAAGATAAGCCTAATCTATGGAATTCAGTAAGGACAGTAGGAAGAAGGCCCCACCCTCCACAGCTGTGTGTGTGGAAGGGCTATGCAAGAGCCTTCAGGGCAGCCTGAAAGCGGCAACTTTTCCCTGACTCCTAAATGCTACTTGGTAGGGAAGATCAAAGTGTAATAGCTAATGACAGCTTATGCAGTCCTCTATTCCCCACAGCTCTGTGTTGCAGAAGAGTTGTTCCACTGGATTCAGCAGCTCAGTGGTAGTTCCCACTACTCCCAGTTTCCTAGAGCTATTCCAGGTTTGTATGTTTGCAACCAGTGAACATCCAGAGATTGCATCTCACAAGGCTTTGTGCTGAGGAAGATGCAAAGTGAGCCGCAGTATCAGCTCCTAACTCCCCAACCCCAAGCTTCTGCTATTTAGGGAGGACCCAGATAGGATAGCCAGTGAATAACAGGCCCCCATTACCACCACCACCCTCTCCACCTCCTGCTTCATAGCACAGAGATTGTTTCCAGGAAAGGATGGGGAAAGGATTATCAAAGACTGGCAATATCTTGCCCCTGCCGAGGTGCCCAACTTTATTTGGATCAAGACTACGGAGCAATTTATGCCCTGGGCACCGTCAAAAACAAAAGAGCCAGCAGCTAGCAATCAGTGGTGACTAACAACTTGCTGTGACACCAATAGAGGCAGACCAGTCAAAAATTCAATGGAGAAATCGGTGAAGGAAAGAGAGACCTGCTAAGAGCATAGTCTTCCTGGTGTTCTAGAAGACTGTTCTCATGCCCAAAGCTAAGCCTTCTGAGAAGTAAATAGAGAAAGAACATCTGAGCCTCTACTCTTTAGCTGAACACAGTACAAATTTATCAGCTCCCTCAACCACAAATGTAGTCTCCGAACCACAAACACAGATTCAACAGTAAAAGGTGAAAACATCACTGGCTTAAATTAAAAGGCTTAGGTACAACCTCCGATGAATCACTGACCACTGGAGTTGACAAGGACAAAAAACAAAATGAAAACTGCCATAAAGGGACTCAACAGTAGATTTGGGCTGGCAGAAGAAAGAATCCATGAATTAAAGTTTTTTTTTTTTAATTTAAGACAAGGGGCTGGGCATGGTGGCTCACACCTGTAATCCCAGCACTTTGGGACGCCAAGGCAGGAGGATCACCTGAGGTCAGGAGTTTGAGACCAGCCTGGCCAACGTGGCGAAACCTCATCTCTACTAAAATTACAAAAATTAGCCGGGCATGGGGATGCAAGCCTGTAATCCCAGCTACTTGGGAGGCTGAGGAAGGAGAATTGCTTGAACCCGGGAGGCAGAGGTTGCAGTGAGCCAAAATCATGCCACTGCACTCCAGCCTGGGCGACACAGTGAGACTCCGTTTCAAAAAGACATGGGCAAAATATTCTAACAGACACATCACAAAGGAAGACAGATAAATGGCCAATAAG